CTGAGGGTTGCGATCCGTTGCCGGACACGGAAAAAGACAAAAAAGACAAAAAAAAAAAAAGCGAATTGCTGGAGACGGAGGGATCTGGATGCACCCTTTCATTTCTCAGCGTTGCAGAGTGTACAGTGAATTCCTCTCATCGGCAAGCTCTTTCCATTGCAGGCACTCGGACGTTTCGTAGGCACAGACATTTAGGGAATACTCATATATAAATTCACATCATAGTCTGCAGTTTCTATGGTGGCCTCCTAAGAAAGTTAAAACTCTTCCCTTTATCTTTTCAACTTCGCCTTAAGATAATCATCTGGCAGGTACTGTTACTCCCACTTCACAAAAGTCACATCTAAGAAATGGAAAGTTAAACTCATTTCCTGTAGCTCACTCAAGCTGCCAGTAGCATGGCTGGAGGAGAAATGTCAACCCGTGGATTACAGTCTGGTTGTCTTTCTCCTCGATCCAGCTCATAGAAGTTTTCACCTGCTTCTCGACCAAGCTCACACAACTTTCACTTGAAATTTAACGACCACAAAATAAGTGACTGCTACGGAGCCCCCCAAAAAGGGCTAGTTTCGTCAATGGTTTTGATATACACTTGCTGCCATGTTGGTTAAAATAAAAGAGAATAAATGGAGATGTAAACCGGCTATGAAAATAAGGAATGAGCACCCTTTGAAAGTTCGCCTTCTAGATGTAACATGGCATTGTGGATCCTGGAACAGAAAAAGGACATAAGAGGAAAAACTGGTAAAATCTGACTAAAGTCCATATAGTTTAGTTAGTAGTGACGTGCCAAGGTCGATTGCTACAAACTCACCATGGCTGTGTAGGACAGGCATCTCACCTCATTAAATCCTACATCTACCCCACGAGAACTACCACTTCTCTCCACTTATAGATGTATATAACCTGATGCTAAGAGAAATTCAGTAATTAAGTCTAATAAGTGGTGGAGTTACAGATACAAATCCAGCTCTTTCCAACTCCAAAGTCTGTGACTTTAAACAATTCTCCAGTGTCACTTCATCTTTGCAGCAAAAGAATTGGTGCCAAGTTGACTGTGTCCTGCCAGAAGAGGGTCCCAGGTATGCCATACTGAGAAACTCAGGGAGACACAACTGATCCGTGGAATTAAGAAGGACCCCTATACTGAGCACATCTTTCATCCTCCCAGCAGTTAACATGGGTATCATCTTTAAGGCATAAGTCAGTGTCCTTGGATGGTTTACTGGGGCTCAGCAGGTGAAGGTAAGGGGTACACCTGTCTGCAGAGCCACGTGAGAGAGTGGGTGAGATGCACCACTGTTAAAAGCAGAAAGTGACACAGAAATCCACAGGCACATCCAAGGTCTTTGTATGTCACAACTCTAATGTCAGAGGACTTTGCTAACATCCCAGAACTCTAGGTTATGGAAGAGAAGTTTTAAGAGAGCATCGCTTGGTGCAAAACCACTTCAAAAATAAAATGAAATAAAACACAACTCCTGGAGAGATCCTAGAAATATCACAGCCTTCCAGACATTCTAGATCTCCCGGGGAGCTCCAAACCACAAATAGCCACCTGGTGTCAACACTTCTGCCTGGGTGCAAAGACGTTGCTTACCTCTGCTCAGGTGAGATACACAGAGTGCCCCCAAAGCAGGCACAGGACCGTGGGGGTCAGTTGTGCCTACAGCTGCCAGACCCACCTAGTATGATGGCACCAGGATGGCTTCATCCACAGTTAGTTTTCTGATAACCAATGGTTATACTCAAGATATGCTCAGTGGGTGGATCTGAATCTGCTATGTGTAACATCATGAGACTCTCCTCTTGTAGTTCTTAATCTATATCCAGAAACTAAAGAAATGTATCAATAAACATAATCTTGTGCAATTTTCTAGAGCTGTAAAAGAAGTGTTTTTACAACAGCCCTAGTTAAAAAAAATATTTAAAAATACTTTTAGCAGATAATAAACACTTCCCAGCACACACTGCCTACGCAACAACATGCCAGACGAAGCATGCTCACACATTTCCAGGCATGTGTTGATGAGCAAACACGGTTGCTTGTCAGATGGTGTAGCTTTGAGTCTTATTCCTCATGCGTGTAATATGGAGAGGGACACACACAAAGTGTGTCTGTCAGGGTGAAAAAGCACAGCACACTGCTGTCTGGGACACCACAATCATTATTAATGAGTGGAGTTCACAGAAAGTCAGAGCGTGGTCACAGAATGCTTCATTCATTCGGCCGACGTCTATTAAGCAACAATTGACTATGATCGGCAATAATGTTGGCGTTTAAAATGTCCCAGAAACAATTCGAGCTTATTACACGTACCAAGTACGATGGATTGCATGTGCCCCACCAAACTCATGAAAGCTTGAGTTGTGTCCTCCAAGTTTTATGTTCTAGAAACTTGCCCCCACTGTGACTGTTGGGAGGGTGGGAAATCTTATTAATAGTGATTGAAAGGTGGTGATTAGATTGTAGGACCATGTTGTAGAGAACGGATGAATAACGGTGGTCATGGGCATGGTTCTGAGGGCTTTAAAAGACGAACGCCTGAGAGATTCTCTCTCTTTCTCATCAACGTGAGACCCTGCATCACCAAAGGACCTCATCATAAGCGTTCCCTGGATTTCCCAGTCTCCAAAACTGTGAGCAAAATACAAATTACCCAGTTCCAGATATTTTTTTATAAGCAATAACCCTAAGCCTAACCCTAACCCTAATCCATTCATCCTCACCATCACTGTGTGAGGCAGGTGCCCCATTTCACAGTTGAGAAAGTGTTGGCAGAGGTTACACAGCAAGGAATAGATGGTACCAGGGAGAGTTCCAGAATCTGCCCTACTAAACACTAGGTTTTACT